AAGGCCCGGCTTGACAAAGCCCTGGCTGGGATGATTTAGCTGGGAATTGGTCCTGCTTTGAGCAGGGGGTTGGACTAGATGACCTCTTGAGGTCCCTTCCAACTCTGATATTCTATGATTCTATGATTCTATGATTCATGCTTCAGCCACCATTCCAGTGCACATGCTTTCATGCTGATGATTCTTATTAAAAAATAATGCATTAATTAAATTTGTGACTGAACTCCTTAGGGGAGAAAAAACGGTGACTCACCTTTTTGTAATTGTTGTTCTTTGAGATGTGTTGTTCATGTCCATTCCAAGCAGGTGTGCGTGCGCCGCGTGCACGCCAGCCGGAATATTTTACCATAGCAGTGTCCGTAGGGTCGGCCGCTGGGTGCGGCCTGAATTGGACCTTGTCTTTGTGGAAGACCGTGTATGGAGGCTCTGATGTCAGTGCTCTAAGCTCCGACACTCTCCTGACCGATGTGATAGCCACTAGGAATGCAACCTTATATGAAAGATATAACAGCAAGCACGAAGCCAGAGGCTCGAAAGGTGGCCCTGTGAGGGCGGACAGGACCAAATTGAGGTCCCAAGCTGGGACCGGCTGACAAGTATGCGGGAACAGTCTGTCCAGGCCCTTGAGGAAGCAACTAGCTAGTGGGTTTGCAAAAACTGAGCTCCCTCCCGCTCCCAGGGGGAATGCTGAGATAGCCGCCAAGTGGACTCGAACTGAAGAGGGGGAGAGTCCTAGTTGTCTCAGATGAAGCAAATAGTCCAATATGAGAGGGATCGGGGCAAGCAAAGGAGCCTGCCCCTGCTGTTCGGCCCAGATGGAGAAGCGTTTCCACTTGGTTATGTACGTGGTCCTGGTGGAGGGTTTTCTACTACCAAGAAGGACCTGCCTGACCTGATGAGAGCATTGCATCTCCACAGGGTTTAGCCATGGAGCATCCAGGCTGTGAGGTGGAGCGACTCCAGGTTCGGATGACGTAGGCGACCCCGATCCTGTGTGATCAAGTCTGGGAGCAGGGGCAGCCTGAGGGGTGCCCGTATGGACATGTGCAGGAGCGATGTGTACCAGTGTTGGCACGGCCATGCCGGCGCTATCAGGATGACACGAGCGTGATCCCTGCGAGTCTTGAGGATTACCCTGTGAACCATGGGAATCGGGGGGAAAGCGTAAAGTAGGCCGTCTTCCCAGGAGAGGAGGAAGGCGTCCGTCAGGGACCTGGGACTGCATCCCATGAGGGAGCAGAATTGCTGACACTTCCTGTTCTCTCTTGAGGCAAACAGGTCTATCTGGGGATGGACCCAGAGACGGAAAATTGAGGATACTATGTCTCAGCAAATAGACCACTCGTGGCCCTGGAACGAGCAGCTGAGGGCATCCGCCAGCCCGTTCTGCTTCCCCGGTAGATAGGATGCTATCAGGTGAATTGCGTTCTGTACACAGAAGTCCCATAACGCGAGGGCTTCTCGGCACAAGGGAGAGGAGCGTGCACCACCCTGTTTGTTGATATAGAACATCGCTGGTGTGTTGTCCGGAACACACCTGCCTGCCAGGAGGGGTTTGAAGGTCATGCATGCTAGACGCACTGCTCGTAACTCCCTGATGTTGATGTGTAAGGAAAGGTCCTCTTGTGACCAAAGACCCTGGGTTCTGAGGTTCCCCAGATGCGCTCCCCACCCCAAATCTGACGCGTCCGTTACCAGGGATAGAGAGGGCTGGGGGCTGAGAAAGGGTACTCTGGCGCAGACCTCCTGTGGGTCGAGCCACCACTGGAGGGAATCCAGCACTGGTCAAGGGAGCGTCACTACGGAGTCTAGGGAGTCCCTGGCCAGCCGGTGCACCTTTGCTAACCAGGACTGGAGCGGGCGCAGTCTGAGCCTGGCGTGGCCCACCACATAGGTGCATGCCACCATGTGACCCATTAACTTGAGGCAATTTCTTGCTGTAGTGGTCGGGTAATGTTGGAGACCGAGAATAATGTTGGACAAGGTCCGGAACCTGGTCTCTGGGAGGTACGCTCTGGCGTGTGTCGAGTCCAGGACCGCCCCTATAAATTCTATTCTTTGGGTTGGAGATAGTCTGGACTTGGCCTTGTTCAGGAGGAGGCCGAGCTCGAGGAAGGTCTTCCTGATGAAAACCACCTGAGACTCCTTGGCACGGCCCTTGATGAGCCAATCGTCCAGGTAGGGAAAGACCTGAATTCCCTGGTTGCGCAGGAAGGCCACCACGACTGCCATGCACTTTGTGAAGACCCTTGGGGCTGCTGACAGTCCAAAGGGTAGAACTGTAAACTGAAGATGGGCGTTGCCTACGACGAATCTGAGGTAATGCCTGTGCTGAGGGATTATTGCAATATGAAAGTATGCGTCCTTTAAGTCGAGGGCAGCATACCAGTCTCCTGGATCCATGGAGGGTATGATGGAGGATAGGGAGACCATGCAGAACTTGAGCTTTTTCACAAACTTGTTTAGACGCCGCAAGTCCAGAATAGGTTTGAGGCCCCCGCTTCACTTTCGGTATTAGGAAATAGCGGGAATAGAAGCCCCTGCCCCTGAACTCCTGAGGAACCTCCTGCACTGCCCCTGCTGCGAGGAGGGACTGCACTTTTTGAATTAGAAGTTGCTCGTGAGAGGGGTCCCTGATGAGGGATGGGGACGGGGGCTGGTGGGGCGGGAGGGAGGAGAACTGGATAGAATATCCCCTCTCTACCGTGCAGAGCACCCAGCTGTCCGATGTGATTCGGGCCCATGCATGATAGAAGGGGGACAGACGTGACAAAAAGGTAGGGTTGGACGGATCCAGAGTTGTGACCGGTAGATCGTCCCCGACCGTGCCATCAAAATGGGGCGCTAGGCCCTGGTGGTGGTCTTGGTTGGGCAGATGACTGGCCGGAGGGCTGTTGTTGCTGCCTCCTTCTGCCGGTCCCGGCCCGCCTGCGCAACGCGTCCGTGCGGTTTTGAGGCTGGTATGGCCGCGGGGCCTGTGGCGGCCTGAATTGCCTATGATGGGTAACTGGGGTGTGTAAGCCCAGCGATCGAAGGGTAGCCCTCGAGTCCTTTAGGCTATGCAGCCTCTTATCTGTCTTTTCAGAGAAGAGCATGGGCTCTTTGAAGGGGAAGTCCTGGATGGTCTGTTGGACCTCACGTGAAGGCCTGAGACCTGAAGCCAGGCTCCCCGCCTCATGACCAGCCCAGTCGCCAATGTGCGTGAGGCTGCATCCGCCGCATCCAAGGTTGCCTGGAGGGATGCTCGGGTAATTAATTTCCCTTCTTCAACTAGGGCTGAGAATTCGGTTCGCGATTCCTGAGGAAGGAGTTCTGTGAACCTAGACAATGCCAAGCATGTATTGTGACCATACCGGCTCACTATAGCCTGTTGATTGGCTATATGCAACTGCAGCCCCCCTGTTGAATACACCTTTCTCCCAAACAGGTCCAACTTCTTGGCCTCCCTGTTTTTTGGTGCAGCCCCTTGGAATCCCTGATGCTCCCTTTGGTTGGCCGCATCCACCACTAGGGAGTCCGGGGGAGGGTGGGCATAAAGATGTTTCATGGTCCTTGGAGGGGACAAAATATCGCCTCTCTGCCTCTTGGCCGTGGGGGCTAATGAGGCTGGCATCTGCCACAAGGTGCGGGATGTGTCCGCAATAGTTTTTATCAGAGGTAGGGCTACCCTGGATGGGCCTGACGGGGTCAGGATGTCGACCACCGGATCCGTATCCACTTCGATCTCCTTGGCTTGGATCGAGAGGCTCTGGGCTGCACACATGAGTAACTGTTGGAGAATCCTGTTGTTCTCTAGGGCCGGTGCCGCTGAAGTTCCCGCGACTGCATCATCCGGAGAGGAAGAGAGGAGATCACCTGCAAAGGGCCTTCCTCTATACCCTCGGCCTCTGTGGGGGCCTGCGGCACACGGTACTCAGGTTGCGTGGCCGGTGCAGGTACAGGATGCGGCACCGCGGCCGGTACCGGGGTCAAGACTGAACGATGAGGCGTGCTGGGTGGTGCCTGCGGCGTCGGAACCACGGTCCCTGCCGGTCCCAGTATCTGACTAGGCGGTGCCAGGTTCTGTTGTGGCACATTCCTGTCAGACGGCGATGCCGGTGGTGGAGACATTTGAGCCGGAGCCACCGACGTTGATGAGACCGATGTGGACCTTGAGCGGAGCCCGTACGCCTGTCCCATGGACTGACGGTAAGCCCATGGAGTCCAGAACGGCCACTGGGGGGGGGGCGGTTGCCACTGCTGTTGCCACTGCGGCGGATAAGGCTGGAGGTTCACCCGCGAGGTCGATAGCCTGCTCCTCGATCTGGTGGAGCGGTACGAGTCCGCCTCCGAGTCTGAGGTCTCCGAATAGGAGGACCTAGGGGGAGCAGTACCCACTGTCGTTGGGGAGCGGTGCCACTGGGCTGGAGAATAGGCCGATTTCCTATGTGCCAACTCTCTCCGGTGCCGGGGTTTGGAGGCTTTAGCCTCATGATGTGCCGAGGATGAAGTGCTGGGCGCCGCGTCAGCGCCGGGGTCCGAATGTGGCCGCAGGGCCGCTTCCATTAGTAAAACTTTGAGTCTCTGCTCTCTATCTTTGAGAGTCCTGGGGCGGAATGCCCTGCAGATACTGCACCTGTCTCTTTGGTGGCTCTCTCCTAGGCACCGTAAGCAGGAAGAGTGCGGGTCACTCTTTGGCATGAACTTCCCGCAGTCCTTACAGAGTTTAAACCCTGGGGACCCGGGCATGCCCCAGCGGGGTGACGAATGCGTTGGGGAAAACCCCCCAACAACTATCTATCTACACTAACTCTAAAGCTAACTAAACTATTTACAAGGAAGAAACGGGACACTGCCAAGATTGCTGAAGAGCAAGTGAAGTTCCAGCTAGCCGTCACCGGTGGTAAGAAGGAACCGAGGGGGTGGAGGGTCGGCGGGCCCCTATATATGGCGCCATGAAGGCGCCACTCCAGGGGGCGCTGAAGCCGACCCTACGGACGCTGCTATGGTAAAATCTTCCGGCTGGCGTGCACGCGGCACGCACTCACCTGCTTGGAATGGACATGAACAATCACTCGAAGAAGAATTGTATGTCCCCTGCTCTGTTTTACTCACATTCTGCCATATATTTCACGTTAGAGCAGTCTCGGATGATGACTCAGCACACTGTTCATTTTAAGAACACTTTCACTGCAGATTTTACAAAACGCAAAGAAGGTACCAATGTGAGATTTCTAAAGATAGCTACATCACTCGACCCGAGGTTTAAGAATCTGAAGTGCCTTCCAAAATCTGAGAGGGACGAGGTGTGGAGCATGCTTTCAGAAGTTTTAAAAGAGCAACACTCCGATGCAGAAACTACAGAACCCAAACCATCAAAAAAGAAAATCAACCTTCTGCTGGTGGCATCTGACTCAGATAATGAAAATGAACATGAGTCAGTCCACAGTGCTTTGGATTGTTATCAAGTAGAACCCGTCATCAGCATGGAAGCATTTCCTCTGGAATAGTGATTGAAGCATGAAGGGACATATGAATCTTTAGCGCATCTGGCACATAAATATCTTGCACCACTGGCTACAACAGGGCCATGAGAACGCCTGATCTCACTTTCAGGTGACACTGTAAACAAGTAGCGGGCAGCATTATCTCCTGCAAATGTAAACAAACTTGTTTGTCAGCGATTGGCTGAACTAGAAGTAGGACTGAGTGGACTTGCAGACTCTAAAATTTTACATTGTTTTATTTTTGAACGCAGGTTTTTTTGTACATAATTCTACATTTGTAAGTTCAATTTTCATGATAAAGAGATTGCACTACAGTACTTGTATTAGTATTTTTCAATTCACCTATTTCTTTTGTTTTTACTGTGCAAATATTTGTAATAAAATATAATAATATAAAGTGAGCACTGTACACTTTGTATTCTGTGTTGTAATTGAAATCAATATATTGAAAATGTAGAAAACACCCAAAAATATTTAAATAAATAGTATTCTATTATTAACAGTGCAATTAATCGTGCGCTTAATTGTGATTATTTTCTTTAATTGCTTGACAGCCCTACTTTTAAGAAAAACTAACCACAAAGCTCAAATTTTTTTTCTCTTTTGGTATTGTCTTAAGACTGCACTGAATTGTGCACCTGAAATAAAAAATCTTGGATGTGGCTTCATGTTTGAGACTTTGTTGTTAAAACATACTAAATATTCAGAAGTTTCTCGACCCCTGGACTGTTTTTATACTTATAACACAGGTAAGGAAATGCGAGGAAGAATTTAGAAAACTTTTGGAAAGGGAAAGGTTCATTAATGACTAAGTAAATAGCAAATGCTTGCCACATATGGGCACTAGTATGTTACAGCAAAGAAGGTTCAGTGAATATTGTGTGCAGGGGAAAGGGTGGGACTTTGAAACATGGTAGCCAGCTCCTTCTCCCAGTTTCTTAAAACTTATGGAATTTATTATGTTCATTTCTACCTCAAATGCAGCAGCAGAAAGAATATTTTCCTTGTGTAAAAAGACTTGCTAAATATTGATTCTGTTAAGGCTGAGCTTCAAATTAAAGTTTATTTCAATTGTACATGTAAAGAGTTTTATGAATTGATTTCAGAACAAAGATGTATTGAAATGTATGAAAACTGATAAGTACCATTTTAAACAGTTCACTGAAGCTTATGATATTTGTATTGTATATATGAGGACACAAAAAACGTACACTTGAGAGACAAATACATGATATGCTAAGGGAAATGGTGTTTCCTAAAATGTCCCTTAAAATAAAGAGTTGTCCCTTATTTTTCATATGGTTTTCCCTTACTTGCATCCAGCAACCTACCTCTGTGGCCCAATCTCCTTCCCCAAACACACAGGGTGAGATTCTCATCCCCTCTCCCACCACTGTATGCCACTGTGGCAGCTTACAGGTACCATAAACCAAAAGTCCACGAGAAAATTCCCTGGTATAGGCACTGTGTCGGGCTGCAACGATGCCCCCCCTGCAAACTGGGTTGCTCTAATTTATGCGGGGGCTGCAGCGACCCAGCCCTTCCTGGATGCCCAGCACAAAGGCCCACCCTCCGGATAGGTCACTCTTTTTGACTCCAGTGGGGGTTACTTGTTGATGCAGGCCCTGGAAAGCTGCCCTTCCCCCACCCTCCTCTCCCCCCTTCTTTTCTCCCTCTGTCTCCATGTTCCTCCCTCTGTCTTATTTTCCCCTCTCTGTCTTGCTCTTCCCTGCTCACCTGGCTGACTGGCTGGCATGACTTGGTACGTCCACCACTTTGGGGGCTGGTGAGGGACTCCGAGCCAGCGGCATTGGGCTCTCCGGGGGCTCGTACTCCTCTGACGGCTCTTGCTTGATCTGTGCAGCGCTCAGTGGTAGTGGTGGTAGGTGGGGAGCAGGGGCTGCCATGCCGCCAGGCAATGGGGGGGCAGTGGGAGCAGGTGAAGGGGCCTTGTAGCTGCCAGCGGCTGGAGAAGAGGTCATTCTGTACCCGGGGGGCGTGGCTGCACGGAACGATGAAGAGGAGGAAGAAGGGGGTGAGCCTGGCTTATAGGGAGCTGGGGGCTGGAATGTGGGGGCAGGTGAGCCTGCCCGCTTCCCATAGGGGGCCACAGTGGAGGGAGGAGCAGGGGGTGACACCGTCTTGTAGGGGGCTGAGGAGGAGGCCATGGTGGCTATGACAGTGGAGAGGGTGACAGAGGCAGAGGTGACTGGTGGGCCAGCTCCATGCGCAGGTGAGGGTGGAGGTGGTGGAGGGAAGGCGTAGGCAGCAGGACTCTGCCCTTGGGGATGAGCGCAGACACCTGGGTATGTCCCCTGGGAAGAGGAGGAGGAGGAGGAGGAGGAGGAAGAGGAGGAAGAGGAGGCTGAAGGAGCCTGGCTGTATGAGGCCTGGCTGTGGGGTGGGTAGAGACGTAGCCCATAGGCAACATGTGAAGGGTGATGAGTGCCTGACTCCAAGGGGTGGGGGTAACCTCCAGGTGGCTGGGGAGGAGCTGCTGTGGCTGGGGAGACCCCCCCTCCAGTGCCATGGCCATGGTGGTGGTGCTGCTGTGGTGGCTGCTGGGAGGGCTGGCCAGGGAAGGAGGCAGTGGGGTGGGAGCTGGTGTTGCCCAGGGGGCGGCCATAGGGTGGTGGACCCTGGCTCCACACAGGCTGGGAGGGCAGAGAGGGCTGGGTGTACTTGGGGGGCTGGCTGGAGATGGAGAGGCCACTAGGTGGGGGGAAAGAGTGGGCATAGGAGGCACTGTAGCTGGGCAGGGCCTGGGCAGGGGGAGGTGGAGGGTACTGAGCAGAAGAGCTGGGTGGAGGGGGGGCATAGGGGTAACGTGAGGGGGGTGGGGCAGGTGCCTTGTCCTGCCCCATCCCGTGGGGCGATGGGAGGTGCCCACTCAATGCCTGCCCCACCATCCCAGGCGAGTTGGAGTTGGTGGACGCATTATTCAGTGGGCGCAGGGCTGGTGGGGGAGGCAGGTTGGCTGTGACATGGGGGAAGGAAGGGGCAGAAGCTGGGGGTGCTACCAGGGGGTTGCCTGGGGAAGTCTTCTGAGGGGGTAGCCCCCCTGCCACAGAGGCCAGGGAGATGGGAGTAGTGGGTGGTGGGTTGTGCTTGGCACCAAGGGTCTGTTCACGCCCTCCTGGCACTGGGAGGCCCCCCCCTCCAGTAGTGGCTTTGGGCCCCCCCTGGACCACACTGGCAGTGGGATAAAGAGGAGCATGTGTAGCAGAGGAAGAGGAAGAGGAGGCAGGCACTGGTGGTGCCTGGGCCTGGAAAATCCTCGATGCCTGAGTCTCAAGTTGAGAGTGGTATCCACCTGCAGGGGCCTGAGGGTGGACCTCGCCTGCTAGGCTGAAACCTGGCTCGAGTGGACGGGCTAGGCTGTCAATTGGAGGGGCAGGTGGGGGACTCTGGGGGAACAGTGAGGGATGATGGTAGGAGTGGGATGGCCCTTGGGACAGCACAGAGGACGAGTCTGAGTCATTCTCCACACTGCCTGGGCTGTAGACACTGGGTGAGGTGCTCCGGTTATCCTGGTCAATGTCCCGTGGGTCACTGCTCATCTCATCATTGAAGCTGTGACCATCAAGGCTGTCAACATCCGAGGGAGACTGGGGACATGGTAGCTCCTGAGGTACAGAGAAGAGGGAGATATCAGACAGCCCCTCAGAGCATGAGCAAAAAAGTTAACCCTTTCTGAGCCCCAGAGATTCTCCTTTCTGAAGTTCTCAGCCCCTCGCTATAGGAGCTGAGAAGGAAGGTCACCCTTTTCTGACACCCCTTACATGTAGTCCCCAGTGACTCTCCTCTCTGGAGGCACCAAAGAAGGTTGTGAGATGCTCCTCCTCCCCTGGCCCTACTTTATTCATGTCCCAGAAAAGGGAAAGGCAACAGATTCACAGCAGATGGAAGCAGATGTCCTTTGGCAGTGTATTTATAACAATCCTAGTGCCTTCCATTTGCAAAGCTCCACTTATTTGACAGACATTCATGAATTAAGTCTCATGACCCCGGGGAGGTCGGTAAGTATCATTGGCCCTATTTGACAGAGGGGGTAATTGACGCACAGAGAACAGTTATAAAGCAGGAGTGTCAAACGTATTTGGAAGAAAGAGCCGAATTCTGGTCTGTGGTCCAGGCTATAATTCAGGACTATTCCCCTCCACAGCAGTGGGAGATTTGTACAGAGATCAAGGGGAGAATATGGCCTTTATGAACTAACTAAATATTCAGTGATTATTTATTATTTGTTTAATGCCTTATCGTCACATTCAGCACTGAGGAAGGAAACCCACAGCCTGTTGGGCCATTGCTATCTCTGCCCCTCATGTCTCTTCCTTCCCATCCCCCTTTCTCTATTGCTCCCCACCTTCCCTGTTCCTGTCTCTGTGAATCTCCTCTGAATGTCCTTGGACCCCACTATGCCTATGTGGTTCCTTCATATTATGTTTGTTGTGTAAAGAGCAAAAGACCCAATAGGGACTGAGGAGTTCCCTCCTCTGAGTCCTCATTTCAGGCTGTCTGCAGACCCAGGCAGACAACACTGAATCAGTTACACTCGGGTCACATTCAAAAGGTCATTTCTGCAAGCAGAAGGGCAAGAAACTTACTTCTCTAAAAAATGAAAGCAGAGATTCTGGAGAATGTAACTATGTCCTGCAGACCACACGAACACATCATGCAGGCCAGATATCTGATACCCCTGTTACACAGGAAGCATGGTCTTGTAGTTAAGGTATTAGACTGGGACTTGGGAGATCTGGAATCAATCCCTTGCTCTGCCACAGACCTGTGTGACACTGGTCCAGTCACTTCACCTCTCCGTGCCTCAGTTTCCTATCTGTAAAATGGTATTAGTATTCTGTGAATTGCAGTCACGTGTAGGAAACCCATTATGGATCAGGACCCCAATGTGCTGGGTGCTGTACTCACATATAACAAGAAGGCCCCGCTCCAAAGAGCTTAAAAATCCTGCACCTGTCTTGTCTATTTAGAGGTAAGCTCTTTGGAGCACAGCTTTTTCTTACTGCGTGTTTGTACAGCGCCTACAGCAATAGGCCCAATCTTGGTTGGGGCTTCTAGACACCACTGAAATGCAAACAGTAATAAGGAGAGGGAAAGGACTTGGCAAAGATCATACACTGAGTCAGGGGAAGAGCTGAGAATAGAAACCAGAAGTCCTGATTCCCAGTCTCCTCTGCTCTAAACTGTTAGGCCCTATGGCCCTCCCAGAGCCAGGAAGAGAATTCATGAGTCTTAACTCATATAACCACTTAACTAGAATCATTGTAGGGCAGTTCCAGACAGTCCAGACACACAATCAGTGTCCCTGAATTGACAAAGCAGCAAGCTAGCTGATCACATCCAGGGCTGCTTGGACGTCCCAGACTAGCTGGCTGAGCCAGACCTAAATCCGGCAAGTGATGATGTGTGGCCAGCATGATCTCAACCCCAGAGGACAAGTTGGACGGAAGATATGCTAGACTTGACAGGGTTATCCTGGGGAACTACATGCTCCTGGGTTCTGGGGAGCCACCTCCTGCCCCAGAAAGGGAAGTGCTGCGACTGGGCCAAGCCCCTGAAATGTGGGAGGAGGCCTATTTATGGGTGAGGATTGTCTCGTCTTGCTTGGTAAAGCCTGTCAGCCCACAACCAACACAATGGTGTGATCCAGTGCAGCCAGGGCAGCAGGCTTGACGGCTCCGTGGACCTGATCCAGCGCAAGAGGGAGGGAGGGGAACTCCCAGAGGCTTTTTTCCTGCACCAGACCATGGAGGTGTTTTTGGGGTGCAAAGGGAAACTCACCTCAGTTTTGGTTTTCTTGGGGGCATTGCTGTCCTCCCCTTCACTCTCTGAAATCTCCTCCATCCGGCCCTGCTTGTTACCCTTGGGGGTACAGGACTCCTCCACCCGTCCTTTCTGCAAGGGAGAGGAAAGAAGGGTCACACATGGAACTCTTTCCTGAAGCTCCCACAGTGGGTGAGAGACAGCTGACATACAAGTGATTTGTACACAAAATGACAGATTGGACAGATTGACACAGGACCTTGGGGATTTAGGAGTCATGGTTTCTCTAGCAGGTCACAACCTAGCAAAAACAAATACTGAAAAGGGTCGGTGGGGGATAACCTCTTGGTAAAATGGTTGGGGGATAAGCAAGTTCCTGAGGGCAGGGTGGAAGAACCAATCCCTGCCAGGTTCTTGGTGGACCTCATGGTACCACTCAATATCACACTAATGTTTCCTACCTTATTGGTTTGCCGGGATTTCTCAGTTTTGCCATCACTGCTAGAAGTGCTGATGCCACCTGGGGAGGCTCGGCCCCGTGACCTGAGCTCCTCTCGGGGTCCGGGAGTCTCCTTCTTCCGTCCACTCCGCATTGACATCTCAGATGAGAGAAAACACACTGAGTGCACCCTGCAGCTCCCCCTGCTATGCAATCCCTGCCCCACCTTCCAGCTCTGCTGAAGCCCTCAGTGTTAACCCACAGCATTCCACTGCTCCAGTCCTACATTCACCACATAGCTTTTCTGATGCACCTCAGTCCTGACCCACAGCTCTCCTTCTTTTCCAGTCCTTGATTCCCCACCACCTCCTCCCCTTTCACATACCGAGTCTTTGTTCTGTCGAGTCTTCATTCTTTTGGGTGTGGGACCCCCATTCTCCTTGGCCCAGTTGGATGAAAACATAAATTTGTGTCACTTTCCCCCCCTTCCACTGTTCCCCGGGAGACTGAGATGATGGCCTCAGGGATTCGGGCAGGGTCAGCTCCTCCGGAAGCGGGGGGTGGGGGCCTCACTCCAGAGCTACTACAGGTTCTTAGTGGACCCTGAAAGACGGAGAGGGAGACAAAGACAGAAAAATGGAAAAAGAGAGTGAGTTGTATGTATGAGGCCACTTCACACCAAAATTTCAGCTCATGATATAAATGCCAAAAAATTACTACTGTTGCCATATCTTTTATTTATAAACCTGGGGATCTTCACTAATAAGAGATAATAATCTTAATGCTTGCTCACTGGATGTCCATAGAAAATTATTTAAGATTATTATCTCTTACTCCCATTGTAGTGGAGTGGTACCCATGTGATGGAAGAAATCGGTCCCCTCAGTATTTGGGGTGTTGAATTTTTACATTATCGCAAATTGTTTTTACATTTCATTTCCCTGGTTACTTTTTTACTTAAAGGAGGGATTAAAAAAAAAGAAGCTGCTTAAAAACATTAGCATTTAAGTTCACAATCATGATTCTTCTGACTTTATAAGCAGTTCTTTGCAGCTGGTCTCAGTGCAGTCCAGACCTTAATACTCTTGCCCAGTTACATAACAGTCATAGCTCACCCAGAGAAATGGTCTCCAAGTGGCCTTTGCTGGGGGTTACATTATGCAAACTCAGCCCCAACAATACACACATCCATGAATGCACCACATTTGCAACAAGCTTATTATACAGAGATGCTGACAAGTCCTGTTTACGCTGTACATCTGCAGGGAAGCCCAATATACACAAGCATATGCACTTTAACTTGACTTCGCAAGCCACAAACAAAATCTGGCCCATTTAACTCTGAATCTTTCCTCAGAACTAGACCCCTTTGATCCTTGAAGTGTTTTCGGTGGCTCTTCTCTGAGCTCTCCCAGCTTGTCACTGTCTTTCTGGGATTGAGGGGTCAATGGCTGACTGCATGATTCCAGGTGGGGTTTCCTCAGAGCCACACAGAGAGAGACTATCCCATCTCTGCTCTTGGATATGCGCCCTCTCACAGACTCTATCCCTAGGGTGGATAGTTCCCAGAGAGAAAAGTAGATCTAGTGGATAAGGCATTAAGATCAAGGAGTCAAAGCCTCCATTGCATCTGAGATGACTAACTGACAGCTTTGGAATGGGATGGGGTTTAATGGGTTAGCACAGGGAGATTGGGAATCAGGATTCCTACAGCTCTGGGTGGGAAGTGGGTCCTAGAGCGTTGTAGCAAGGGAAGTCAGGATACTCTAGATTCTATTCCTTGCTCTAGCAAGGGAGTTTGGGTCATATTCTATGATTTTATTTTTATTTAATTTATTTATTTTTAGTGGGTTAAAGCAAAGGAACTGGGAGTGAGGATTCCTGGATTCCATTCGCAGCCATGCCTTTGACTTGCTCTTTTACCTTGGGAACTTCTCTTTCCTGTATCTCAATTTCCCCATCTATAAAATGGGGATAATTGATACTGACCTACTTCTCGGGGGAGTATGAGATCTATTTAATTAATACTTTCAGATTGCTTGGAGATCCTCAGATGAAAGGCACTTGCGACTTTAATTTAATTCATATTTTATCTGCCCCTCATGCTGCAGGTCATCTAGGGCCCATATAACAATAATTTCCATACAAATTAACTTAGCTCTAGTCTTTACTAGAAAAATGCACTGATTTAACTAAAACTGATTTAAAACTGATCTACTTAAACCAGTGCAAACCCCTTATGTAGACTGTAGTGGGGCGGGTGTCCCACTCCTGGAGAATTTAGGCTGCAGCAGGCCAGTGAGCCTGTGCAAATAGGCAGCCAATTGGAGAAGAGCTTATTGGGAGCCAATCAGGGCCCAGATTGGAGACAGCCAATCAGGGCCAGGCTCAGCCCTATAAAAAGGCTGCTCAGGGAGAAAGCACTCAGTCTCCCCCAGACCTTCAGAGAGGAAGGGGGGAGGGATGGCTCAGTGGTTTGAGCATTGGCCTGCTAAATCCAGGGTTGTGAGTTCAATCCATGAGGGGGCCATTTAGGGATCTGAGGCAAAAATCTGTCTGGGGATTGGTCCTGCTTTGAGACTAGATGACCTCCTGAGGTCCCTTCCAATCCTGATTTCTATGATTCTATGAAAGTCTGCAGGCTGAGGCGCTGGGCAGGCTCAGGGAAGCAGAGTGGAGCTTCAGCCTGGTACCTGCCAGACTGCCAGCCCTGAATAGAAGGGCCTAGAGGGTGCAATGGTGTCAGAGTGGAAGTGACCCAGGGAAGGCTGAAGGCAAAGGGAGAGAAGGAGGGCCAAGAGGCTGCCGTTAGAGGGTCCTTGGATTGGGACCCAGAGTAGCGGGCGGACCTGGGTCCCCCTTTTTCCCCCTTGTGCTGCTCTGGGCCATGGAGCAGGGGCCGAGTCAGGCTGCAACCTGCCCCCTGACGTAAGAGGGGCTAGACTTGGGGGTTGTGGCAGGCTGCTGAGGCTGGTGCAAAGACTTCTGTTAACCCCCCCCAAAGGGGGTGTGGATGGACTGAGGGGCACTGCCGGAGGGCAGTGGTCCTGAAGAGGATGCCGCGAGCTGGAGAGCAGCGTGGGCTCAGACGCCAACCAAGGGCAAGACAACGGGTGGGACACCACCAGAAGAGGGCGTTCCTCTGGACTGAGCTAATTCCCGAGACGATCAGCAGGAGGCGCCAGGTGGTCAGTCCCAACCCTGTTACATAGACCCACTTGAATCAGTTTCAATATTGCTTATATTGCTTTAGCTTAATTTGGTCATTGGTGTCTAAATCAATCCAGTTAAACTGATGAGATTTATAGTATAGTAAGGCCTTAGAATCAACATTTCTCAAGTGAATTTCCTCATAATGCAAATACTAAAAAGCAAGGAAATTCTAAGCTAAAGACACCTCTCACATGCAGTTTCCAAGCATTAGCCCAGTGCCATCATAAGACATAAATGACACCAACACGCCGATAAACTCTCTAACACACACACTTTAAATTCAACAATACTATCATCCTCAAGTCACACATCAAACTATAATGCACAATTTTAACTCAAACCTTCTAACACTACGTTATTTAATAGCTTAATAATGACAACTAGTCTTATCTCCACATACCACACTCATGTCAGAGAAAGAATACAAAGCTGAATACACTCCTAATTTCTTTCTTATCAGAAATGTTTCCTGGAATAGCTACAAAATGTAGATCAAATGTACAACACACAATTTCAAACAGACACAAATATTATGCACATTTTAAAGTGAGAGTAATTACCCACTAGAACAGATTACTGAAGGCTGTCATAAAATCTCCATCACCTGGAATCACTACATCTTTCTAAAATATATAATGTAATTTAATCACAAATTATTGGGCTCAATACAGGAATTTCTGTGTGAAATTCTGTGGCCTGTTATATAAGGGGTCAGACTGGATGATCACAGTGGTGCTTTCTGACCTTTACATTTATGAAATAAAAACATGGTCAGCCTTTCAGATCTACATTCATAATGACATGGAGAATGGCAGGGACCCCTACTCACGATAGTTAAGTCCCAGGCAGACTGCGAAGAGCTACAAAAGGATCTCTCAAAACTGAGTGACTGGGCAACAAAATGGATTCAATTTATCAAATGGAAATTCAATGTTGATAAATGCAAATTAGAAAACATAATCCCAATTATACATACAAAATGATGGGATCTAAATTAGCTGTTACCACTCAAGAAAGAGATCTTGGAGTCATTGTGGATAGCTCTTTGAAAACATCCGCTCAATGTGCAGCAGCAGTCAAAAAAAACCAGAAAAAAAAGTTACTCACCTTCTCGTAACTGCTGTTCTTTGAGATGTGTTGCTCATATCCATTCCAATTAGGTGTGTGCTTGCTGCATGCACAGTCATCGGAAAGTTTATTCCCTAGCAGCACCCGTGGGTTGGCTATGGAGCCCCCTGGAGTGGCGCCTTCATGGCGCTCAATATATGACCCTGCCAACCTGGCGCCTCCTCAGTTTCTTCTTGCCAGTTACTCCGACAGAGGGGAAGGCAGATAGGTTTGGAATGGATACGAGCAACACATCTCGAAGAACAACAGTTACGAGAAGGTAACTGTTTTTTCTTCTTTGAGTGATTGCTCATATCAATTCCAATTCCAAGCCTAGTTATGGAATCACTGATTGGAGCACCGTTCTGCCGAAAGCCGCATCATCTCTGGCATGCTGGATGATGGCGTAATGAGAGGTGAATGTATGTACTGAGGACCAAGTTGCTGCCCTGCAGATTTCTTGTATTGGGACCTGGGCCAGGAATGCCGCTGATGAGGCCTGAGCCCTTGGGGAGTGTGTTGTAAGAGCCGGGGCTGGTATTTTGGCCAGCTCATAGCATGTGTGGATGCATGACGTAATCCAGGAAGATATTCTTTGAGCTAAGACCAGGAGCCCTTTCATCCGGTCTGCCACCGCTATGAACAACTGGTTCAACTCCCTGAATGACTTAGTGAGCTTGATGTAAAAAGTTAGTGCTTGCCGAACATTCAGGGAGTGCAGCCTCTGCTCACGGCTACTGGCATGAGGCTTAGGATAAAAAACTGGCAGGAAAATGTCCTGATTAGTGTGGAAGCGTGACACAACCTTAGAAAGAAAGGCCGGGTGAGGTCTGAGTTGCACCTTATCCCTGTGGAAAGCTGTATGAGGTGGGTCTGAGGTAAGGGCCTTTAACTCAGACACCCTCCTTGCTGAAGTAATGGCAACGAGAAAGGCTACCTTCCACGACAGACAGAGAAGGGAGCAATTCACCAGTGGTTTAAATGGGGGCCCCATTAGCCTGGAGAGGACCAAGTTAAGGTCCCACGCAGGGACAGGCTATCTGATCTGGGGATGTAGCCATTCCAGATCATTGAGGAACCGACCAACCGTAGGAAGGCCGAGATAGCAGTGAGGTGTACCTTTATGGAGGACACTGCCAGGCCTTGCTGTTTCAGGCACAGAAGGTACTCTAAGATGAGAGGTACAGGTGCCTGGAGAGGGGGTGTACAACGCTGGTCACACCAACAAGTACATCTTTTCCACTTTGCCAGATATGTGGCTCTAGTGGAGGGCTTTCTGCTTC